ACTATATTGGGGTTATAGCCCTAAACCAACCTCGAACAATTAGAGGACCTTGCGATGGGAGCCCCTAACATCTCCTTTTCTCTCTAGATGCCCTCAAGGTCCCCGAGGGATCCAGACGCTGCCCGTACTTTGACATACCCAAACCCACAAAAAGTGAAAGCCGAAAGAAGTAAACCCACAACCCAAAACCCTCCTATAACCCTCTTTGAAGGGCTAAACCCTAAGCCCGAAAGCCATATATCGTTTAAACTCCTAGCATCCCCCTTAATAATCCTTGCGCTACTCCCCTATATAATCCCCTTTAAGGAGTTTAGACCCTAAACCCTAAATCCTAAACCCTGATCCCTATATAGTCCCCTATATAACCCCCTTTAAGGAGTTAAGACCCTAAACCCCAAATCCTAAACCCTATATAGTCCCCTATTTCACCCCCTTTAAGGAGCTAAGACCCTAAACCCTAAATCCGAAACCCCAATCCCTTTATAGTCCCCTATATAACCCCCTTTAAGGAGTGTAGACCCTAAACCCTAAACCTTATATAGTCCCCTCTAACCCCCTTTTAAGGAGCTAAGACCCTAAACCCTAAATCTGAAACCCTAAACCCTATATAGTCCCCTATATAACCCCCTTTAGGGAGTTTAGACCCTGAACCCTAAACCCATAGCTGATATCCTCTCTTATCTAAAGAAAGTAAGGGATTACAATAGTACCCCGCCCAAAGGTAGCCCCCCAGATTTAGAACCCTATTAGGCCTTATTAAGCCCTAACCCTAAAGAGTCCTTGTTAGCTTCTTAAACACTGGGGGGGGTACCTTTGAAGGGGTACTATTGTAATCCCTTATTATACATCCCCTAAACCCTACACCCTAAACCCTGAACCCTAAAGCCCTAAAGCCTAAACCCTAAACCCAGTACTATTGTAATCCCTAATAAAGGGAGCCTCCTGGCCTCCACAGCTCGGAGCGCTTTCATGCGCCTTGCGGCCTCCTCGAGGCTGAAACGCTTTCGGGGAGCCTGGAAGCCCAAAGGGTCCATGCTTGGGATTTAGGGGTTTAGGGTTTAGGGGTTTAGGGTCTGGGGTGTAGGGGTTTAGGGATTTAGGGGTTTAGAGTTTAGGGGTTTATGGATTTGGGGTTAAGGGATCTAGAGTTTAGGGGTTTAGGGATCTAGGGTTCAGGGTTCTAGGATTCAGGGTTTAGGGTTTAGGGATAATGGAAAATAAAATGGAAACTGCAGAGACTATAGGGATTATATGGGGGCATATACGGTTTTAGGCTTTTCTTGGGTTTAGGTTTAGGGATTCTAGGGGCTACAGGATTTTCATGGTTTTGGGCGTTAGGGTTTGGGTTCAGGGGTTATAGAGATTACAGGATTTCCAGATTTTAGGGTTTGGAAGGACTTTGTTGTTAAGAGTTTTTAGGGTCGGTGGTTCTCAGAGTTTTTAGGATTCGAACTCGAGGGTTATTGACAGTAGTTTTTTTGGCGTGGTTTTGATGGCTCTCAAGTTTTTAGGGTTTTCAGTGTTGCAGAGCTAGGGTGCTAGGGTATCCTAGGGCTTCAGGTGTTTTTAAAGGTGTTGGTGTTGTAGCTTAAGGTTTTAGGGTTTATTGTGCTGGGGATTTGAAGAATTTTGGTGCGGTTTAGCTGGAGTTCCATGGGTACTCAGGGCTGTTTAGGGCTTGGTTGAGGGTTTAGGGTGTACTTAAGGCGTTCGGCGCTCCTCTTGCGAGCTTGCCATGTAAAACTCCAAAAAAAGTCCAAAAACCAACCCTACACGCCCAGGTTGTACCAGATAATCCTGATCAACATCGCGAACCATGCCGCAACCGCATCTGACGTCCAAGCTGGGCAGACTGCCATGCACAGCATGTGCAGAGCAACAACACACTGCACGGTAGTGCAGCAGCAAATGCACCATCGTGATGAGGCACAACCGCACATCACAACAAAGGTTTGAGACTTCCAGCACGTCGTCCAACAGGAAACCGAAAAGATTGCAAAATGACTGACAAATCCTGGTGCTCAAGGCGTGGTAGTATGCAAAGCTGCCAAGTTTATGGAACGATCTCGAAAAGCAATACCATCGTGAACTCTGAGTAACATGCCACACACTTGCAACCTGAAAGCCCTGCACCCAGAAACAGAAACCGTCCCAAGAGCTAGGGTCTTGGAGTCTAGGAGTCTCTGAGCCAAGCTAAGGCACCCTGGGATGCTTGGTCTTGTCATAACGTTTTCGCAGTGCGTTGCACAGGGCATCGCATGGCATGGTGGCAACAAACCTTGCTCAAAAGCAGGAAGGAGCGGGGGGTCATACCATAAGACCTACAGAAGTGCCCAAATGCTGCTAGGGACCACTGAGATTTCGATATTTGAGCTCAAAGTCTAGTTCTTTGGGTTCTTTGACCCCTGGGAAATGGTTTTAGGCGTTTAGGCTTAAAGGGTCGGTGTGAAGGGCTGGGAGTGTTTTAAAAATTGTTTAAGTTTGATGGCCCAGGGTTCAGGGTTTCAGGGTTTCGGGCTCAGAGGGTTGAGGAACACACACAAGCTGCTGTGATAAAAATCATCCCCCTTGGGTTGAATTTACGTTTATACAATGATAGTTTAGAGTTTCCGGAGTAGGCCGTCGGCTGCATGGGCTCAAAATGTTTGCGTTTACAGATGGCACATCTGATGGCCTCGCAGGGTTGCAATGCGCATTGGGTGAACCCACTTGAAACTACATGACGAAAAAGGGCTACCTCCAAAGCACGCAATTTGGACTACAACTTACGCAGGAAATCCTTTACCGTTCAGACACTTTCCGGGCGGCGGCGGCATCGCAAGCTGTCCACTATCCACCATTCTCCGCCCTACCCCGCAATTCTGCATCAAAGTTGCGATGTGCGCTGTTTGTACACTGGCCACAAAATCAAAATTCACCAGGGGCCCTACAGCAGAAACCATAGCAATCCTGCCGCATGTACCTCTTAAGCCACCAGCAAGCGGCACAACATGACCCTTCTCAGAGTGCGCGAGCTTTGCTGGAGAAGTCAGTCCTGCGGACCCTTCCAAGTGTCGCAACAGGAGTCAAGGCAGCCGGCAACCTAAACTTCCACGGAGGTGAATAAGCTTTAGGGCTAAAGTTTAGGGGTAAAGGGCTAACGATACACGATTAGATAGAACACTCCTGCTGGTGTTAAGTGCTAAACTTGAGCAGCCTGACTTCAAACAAAACTCTAGGCTGCACGGACCCCTCTGTAATTACTTTGTGCAACCGGCACACCCGGCGAGGGTCACACAGTCACCATCCACAATCGTACCTGAGTTGGAAATCTGGTTGGGCTTGTGCAAGGCTTGTATTCCCAGAGTTCTGCTAGAAGCCTTGCTATGCCGGCACTTCCAAAAAAGATCCTGGACTCGCTTTGGAGGGGCACCTCAGCCAGTCTTCCATCCAGATTCTGCCCGTAAGTATAAGAGAGGAAAAATGACCACTCAAGAGAAGTCCGCGGGTGAAAGTTTGGGGCTTAGGGTACTGGAAGATGTTGTGAACGCGGTTGCAGGATTCAAGTTCTGCTCAAAAACTCAGACAGACCCGGTCCAAAGCATTCGCCTCTCGTGCATTCTCATGACTACTGCAAGGCACTGTAGGCCATCATCACCTAGCTGTAGCTTGATCGGTTTCCCACTGAAATCTAAATCCCAACCACCTGAACTTGACGGCCTAAAACTCCTCAGCCCAAACCCTGAACTCTGAACCGCATTCGCCAATTCGGAAATGCCGCTCATAGCCTGATCCGCCGTAACCACCTGTGCCCGGAGGTCTCGCTACGTAAAGGGGAGCGGAGAACAGAATAGGGTAGAACAGAATAGGGTTTGCTGGTCATGGGCGTGCGGCGTTTCCCAAGATAGAGATATGCTGAAGATCCAGGGAAGACACGAAGGAACAGCAGTCTAAGGGGCTTGTGCAGAATGCAGCTTCAGAAATTCCGATCTCAGGATATTTGGGCATCATTTGGGGAGTCACTCCCCTTCTCACCGTTGAGCATCTGCAACAAGTGGGGATGCGAGAAGGTTTTCAAAGTGATCTAAGGGCTCTCATCAATTAATTAGTTAATGGACGAAATGGTTAGTTAGCTAACTAAGGATTACGCAGAGGTTTGCGTACAAAGTTGACACATGGCTAGGCTAACTTGTCACGACCACGAGCAGCATCAGTGCTATCACTCACTGTGCAAGAACTATGGGAGCAACAGGCCAAGCTTGTACCACTAATTCTGGCTTGACTCAGCATCTGTCCTGTAAGAAGAGAAGATGTGCAAGTTCTGATAAATTGTTATGAACAAGTCAGTTCATTGTGGGCACTAACTAACAGCAGAGTTGTTGCCGCCGCATTATCCCGCGACTGCGATACAAATCGGTGGCGCGCTCGCCGCCATTGCTGCTGCGTAAAGGTTCCCCATCGTCGCTAGGGAACAGCGAAAGGATTCTAGGGGCTTCTGCAACGACTCTCTGGATTTGCCCGCTTGGCTGCAGAGGGAAGGCCCTGCGAGAAAATATAGTCCCCCTTCAGTGGATAGAATATGGAGTATATGCGGATCTTATTGCAGTAAACTCAAGCCACATTCTATCTACTTAAGGGGGACTATATCAATAGAAGATCCTAGCAAGCCTTTTCTAGTAGTAGCAAGGCACAGCGTTTGCACTGTTGACCAACGAGACCTGAACCCCGGTGCCCAACTGGAATGCCCACTTATCTTAGGGATTATAGGGTATATATTGGGGCAATATAGGGAGGGATTACATAGGGGTTATAAGGTATATCTTATCGTCAAAGTGCTGAAGTGGCTTTTTGCAGCACTAGGGGTCCCTAGTACAGACTCCAATATACTATAATCCTGATGACAAGACATCCCAAAACAAGGCCCTTAATTTTGGAAACCCTAAACCCTCCATCGTTACATCTACCCATAAATCATCTTACCCTATACAGCCGCCGAAGCGCTTCCTTCCCGTTTGTCTTGCCTTCGATGTTGCGGTGAGGGACTTGCGCAAGGACAGGCACTGCTGCTTCAGTGCCTCGACATCTTCTTGCTCCTCAGCTCCCCGGTTGGGAATATAGGATTCCGGTTCAGGATTGAGTGGGGCTTGGTCCCAAATTGTTGTATTGTGCGACAGCTGTGTGGTCTTTGCTGGGTTTGCCAGAACTACTGGTCCTCAAAGGTTTTGAGGGCTCCGAGCAGAGAAGGGTTGTGGGTTTCAGGGTTCTGTGTTTTTCGCCTGGACGGCGGGGCACAAAATGGCTTGGGGCTTTGCTTGCTTTCTCCTTTTTGCAAATTTTAACCTACCTTTGCGCAAAGTGGCAAACTGGTATGCCGTATAAAAAACTTGGCATCGCAACTTCATTTGCCTTCATGCTGACTTCTCTGCATGGTAGATGTTCAAAAGTGGTTGCGCCGGGTGTGGAGCTGCCTTCAATCAGAACAAAAAGGGGCTGCGTTTTTGGCACTCCTATCTTGACCAGACACTATTTCCGCTGAATAGCGCAAGCATGACGAGGGCCCACATTTTCCAAAGCTGTCCGGTGAACCCTGAACTCACGACTTGCAAAACCCTAAGCGCAAGCGATCCTGGATCCTTACACCTTACAACTGACAAGCCAATCCCAGATCTCTGAACCCCATGGCCCAACACCCCTATCCCCTCCCCGCGCAAACACACAAAAAACAAAGGCAGCCATGCTTAAGCAACTTAACTGAATAGACTGTAATACTTGGCACCTTTGATGCATAATCTTGATGCAGATAGACAGGGAACCAGTGTCGACACATGATTTGGTCAATTCAACTTCTTGGGTACCAGGCGTTACACTTACAGAAAACCATGCTGACTGCGAGGAACAGTTGTAGAGGCCGCTCTTCGATCCTTACTCTGTACCTGAACCCCGACAGTATGTAGTAGAATAAAGGCGTTTTGGACTATATTCATGTGGTTGGGGCTATTATTTCATCTACTCTGTCTGGGGGTTCAGGTACTGGTGATTATTTTCTTCTGAGGGGCGACCTCGGCCTTTGCCAGCTGAGGGCCCTTCAACGCAAGGTTCCTGGGCACCAGGAGGGTTTAGAGTTTAGGGTTTAGGGACCCCTTTATAGCCCCCAAGGTATTGAAACCCTTATCATGTGGATTCCCAAGACGGGCCCCTGATTGTTGAAAGCTCCCAGACGGTGAAGCGTTCTTCCTTTCCTTTAGAACCCACCCCAAAGAATGGGTTGAATGGACGGTCACGAAGGCTACTGCGCAAGAGTTCTCTCTCTCTCTCCCTCTCTCTCTCTCTCTCTCTCTCTCTTTCAGTCTCTCCGCCACCATTGCTGGCCCATGGCCGCTAGGGACCGCATGGCCAAACCACATCAACTGCTACAGGCTTCATGGGCATGTTCGGAAATACTGCTGGAATCCATACGAATAAGAAAGCAGCTTTGGGCTTGACCCCGACCATGTTCAAACAATTCCTGAGAGTCACCCTGGGCGAACGTGGCGCTGCCTATCTGGGGGGGCCCTGTGACTCCCATTCTCCTGCACCCGGCACCCTTGCTGTGTACCCCTTTGACAAACATGTCCCAGGCCGAGGATCACAACCACACGGCCACGAATTTTACCCGCCAGGATCTGCGTTGCCACCTCGGAAACTTGATGGCCCCACATGTAAGGCTGGCTTTTTTTGAGAAATCAAGGATGGCCTCCCTTCTTTCAGAATCCCTCGGTGCCCTAACCTTTAGCCCTGTAATTCTGTACGACGAACGGCTTCAACAAAAACAGCTCACAGGCATGGTATCCCGGATATTTAATCCCCAAGACTGCTTCCTGCAAAGCACCGGGGGCGGTTTAGGGCGTAGGGGTTAGGCAAGGAAGCGATTCCCCTCTCTGTCAACGTGAGACGCCTCGGTTTTTGAAAGAAAGCCGGTCCTTGGACCCTTTTCATTCATGTACCACGTTTCATAGGTTAGAAAAATGCACGGTTGTCGCAGAATGACAACTACAGCTGCATTGACAGTTGGCTGGTGGGGGGAGAGTCCAGGCCATTCTGTTTTATGTTGACAGGCACCACCTCAAGCCCCGAGGCTGAGTGTGAAGTAGTCAAAGGGTGGCCCTTGGGAGAACTCGGGAGGCATCTGTTGCACGAGGAAGTAACAGGGAGCGCTGAGGAGCCCTGGCGGCGTAAACTCTAAGCCAAAAACCCACGAACACCAAACCCTAGAAACTAAACACCAAACAACCTGACCCCAAACCTAAGCAGCAACTCTCCTAGATCCTGGTCGCAAGCACTAAACCCTGAACCGCAAGCAGACCGGATCCAATACTAGCCTCCTGCAGGTCATCAAGTGCAACCTCCTTGCGCATTTCTCGCCAGACCTCTGGCATTGCTTGAGGTTCTGAGGATAGGGTTTCTTTTGATTTAAAAAAAGTTTTTGCGACTTGCATGGCTGAGGGGTTTGGGGGCTGAGGTTTCCACCAACTGGCCTCCAAGAGTTTAGGGCTCAGGGAGTCCAGGATGTGCGGTCTGAGTGGGGTATAGGCCGTGGGCTTGGCGCTTTTGATAAGCTTCGGGATAACACAGCACAAAATTCCATGCACGGTTGTGCTATGTACACTAGCACTATTATCATTAGTCTTGCTTTTACCAATAGTGCTGCTAGTCTAATGTTACGGTTAAAACAATTATTGCTGGTATTTTCTACTGCTAAGTACTGCTACTATGATTGATATTATTATCATAAGAAGTAGTTGAACCGTTACCATTATGACTGTTAGTAATAGTACTGATATTACAAGCATTACTAGTACTAGTACTACTTACATTTTAACTGTGGCCAAAACAGTGAAATCCACTTCGTGAGCTCGCTCTCACGGCATCTTGTTCTAAGAACATCCTTGTCATCGGGATGCTTAGAAGTTGCTCTGCCCATGTGTGAATACTTTTATGTATGTATGTATGTATGTATGTATGTGCGCATGTGTATTTACCAGTTGAAGTACCCCCCTGACCGTGAATGAGCAATTCCCCCATACCCATTCCAACCATGGGTGTACAAATTCCACTCCTGAAGAACTAGTTTAAATAGCGCGAGTAACCTCCATCATTGGGAAGAATTCGAGTTCCCAGCCTCTGGCGGAACTTTCGCCAGGTCGGACCATGCGAGCTTGCGATCCTCAGTCGAGGCAAAGACGGAGTCGACGCCATAAAGCTTCACACCTGAGGCATGTGGGAAGCTTTCCCTGAATGACTCGGTGGCGTGATTCCACTTGTCCACAAAAATCCCAAACCGTAGCAACTTTCAAAAGGGGAACATGCCGTAAATCGCATTGCGGTTACTGTTTCAAGCAGCAAACAAGACAAATGTTCGATACTTCCTGTCAAAGGAGTAGCATTCTGTGCGGGAACATGTGCTCGATACAAAAAGCGGTGGGGCTCTCACAAGATCATGTCAAAATCAACAGACTCTGTAAAAGCACTCGGCAACCCAAACAAGAAACCTGGTTCCCTAGAATCCTATGGCGCCGCCTCGGATGATGAAGGGGTAGACAGTGGTCTTGATTGCAGGCCCTCCAGCCACTCCGCAGGTGGCAAGTGTACCTTACACTGCCATCGAAGTCTTCTCTCGGGTACCCGAGGGACAGCAGGGATATATGAGCCATAGTCTAAACTCCTAGTATCCCCCTGAATATCCCCTATGTTAGTCCCCTAGATAATCCCCTATATAACCCCCCCTTTAAAGGGATATATAATAAGGACCCTGAGAGGATGACTATGGCTTAGGGTCTGGGAGCGAAACTGCGCGAACCCCTAATTCATACAGCTTCAAAGGGGTTAGGTTGTATAGGGCCTGGGGCCGTTTAGGGTTCAGTGAACAATCCAAGGTACAGCCGTAGGCCATTTGGGAGCAGATGGTTGGAATCGTCGGACCACCAACTACCTTGATGGGGAGAATACGTGTCTGTTTCAATGGCAAGGCAAGGTGCTAGAAGGTCTCCAGCATGTGTTGTGGATAGCACTGGTTTTAGAGGAATTTGCGGTGTTTCTGTGGATTTCAATCCTTTCTAAAGTGGTGAGCACAACAAAGCCGCACACTTTGCTTCAAGAGACGAAGGGTTCCACAGGTATCCAAGAGCCTGTTTCCCATGCTCACTGCGGCTTTGCCGCTGTCAGGGGTCGAGGCATCGCAAGGTAATCAGCTGTCACAACACATGAGGTACCACTCCTTATCCTCCTTCGCAACAGATATGCGCTCCAGTTTAGGTGACTTGTTGCCGTATTCCCTAAACCCTGCAACAGTTCGACCTGAAGCACGATCCGTCCTTGCAATCAGAAGCTTGACAGAAGGTGCCCTGGTCCATCTCTGCCAGGAAAGTAATGGGAGTACCTACCTGCTATATGGACATTTTCTGCAGTAGCATGTAGGAGCCCAAACAAAGGGACACATGCCGTAGGACATATAACAACCCCGGTCAGGAGCCTCATTTGCTCATACAGCCTGAAACGTCCAACCGTGTATCATGCGCCGGTCCAGCACACGCGTCAATTGCCGGCATGAATTCTCATGTGCCTGGTGCATTCCCACTGCCATAATCATTCTTCATGCGACTCGCTCTGACTATTGCTACAGGTGGTTCTTGGTTTTCGGTGGACCTTGCTGATACTTGGAGGCCCATCGGTGCTGATAATCTACTTGCTCTGCCGAGAACCCAATGCTTCCTACTTCCTCTACTAGGACTAGAATCTGTGTATGTAAAAACTAGAACCTACGGACCTCCAAGTGGCCTTTCCCAGCGAAGACGAGGAGCATCAATGGCCCCACCCCACCTTTGCTCATCTAAGGCCTTGCCTCAGCAAACTTTTCTAGTTCGGGATTTACGGTTTGGGACTTTGGGCATCAGGGCCTCCTCACAGTTTCGGGTGCCGGGTTTCGTGCTAACTTAATGTCCTGTGGCTTGGGAGATTGTTGGTCCACAATTTGTAAAAAAAAATCCACTGCGCCAATGCAACTTTCTGCGTCCAACAAGATCATAGAAAAGCCGGGCTCCATCAACACCTGAAGAACAGCCGCCACAATAGCCAGCCCAACACACGAAGAATAAACTGGGACTGGCTGATTGGAATCCCCGCAACACATCTTCTGTGGTGCCTGAACTTGAGCCCTGACCCCTAACTAAAATTCTTCATCATCGCCAGAAGTTTGGTGGCTGCCTCTTCCAACCTGAGACCTTGTGCGGCTTTAACTGGAGCTTTTTACAATTGAGCGTCCCATGCTGGGCATCCTTTTCAAAATCTATACTTGGGAAATGGAACGAGGATGGAACATTCAGGGTTGACATGGTAGGTGGGTGCTAGATGGGACAAGCTCACAAATCTATCTCTGAGTCCAGAACTGTCGGTGCTCAAGGCAGGAACAATCTCAGTAGCGCCTTGGATGCACATTCACCAGCATGTCCGAGGACGAGGCTCCACAGCCACACAAAAATATGATAAGCGTAAAGGGAACTTAGGGCAGTTCCTGCTCTCAGGCACGTGCTTTCCGGTTCTTCCACACCAACTTAGGGTCTGCATTGGGAATTGCTTTAGTGACGTATGTGAGGCCATGCTCGGGCTTGCCAATGAAGTCCACAGCCTGAAGCCTGTTGTACGTCTCGCATCCTTCTCGGACCCCTTGCGAAAACGCGCGCGGGCCCTGTGAAAGCAACATCTGCGTCTGAGTCCCCCTTGGCACCCCAAAACGGGACCCAAACAACGTAAGCCCTCATCCCCAAGCCCTAGACTCTAGACTCTCAAAATCCGTCAACCCACTCCATTGACAAACCTTCTAGCCAACCTGGTCAGGGCGCCCAGTTTCCGTAGTCTTGCCTCCGTATCCTTCCAGCGCGTGCAAGCCGCAACCTTGCAGCCTTTTCGGCGCTCAGGGGCTTTGGGGGTCCAAAAGGTGAAGGATGAAGCACGCCTCTGGGTTGCCGCTTGGGGTTTTTAGCGGGGGTCGGGGCTTAAAATCTCTGGGCTCATTGGACTGTGCAACTTTTTTTCCGGCCCATCTGGGTTTTCTAAAGCATTCCCCCTGCGGTTTCCAGAGCTTCGACTGGCTTAGACAGAACCTGAAAGTTTTCACTCATCCATGCCCGTCTGCCCAGAACCGTAAACCCCGCCTTTCTGCGCCAACAGATACACTGCGACGCTCCCTACACCACCATCCGCACCAGTGACCAGGATTGGCTTCCTGAATTCGGGGGTGCGCGGTCTGCAGCAGAGGGTTTTGGTCTCAGGGGTGTTTGATCACGATGCTGGAATTTCACATTTGGTGCTTAGATGTGCTTTGATCTGCCTCTTTGGCAAGGAATTTCTCACAGTAGCTATACAGTTTGGATGACATGTAGACTCAATGTAGACTCAAGCGGAAAGAACCTTTGGGAGGCAATCGTTTTTGTAAAATGCCGAAGGACCCTCGACGAATCCACATGATATGCAAACGTTAATCTCCCCATACTACCGACATAGCTTGTGCTGTGACATATCCCAACCATTTCTGAATTTCTACTGGAAAACAACCTCACGAACTTTGTACTCCCGGGCGCGTTGACGTCCCCATCCCCCGCAGGCTACCTCTGAAATATCAGAAAATGGGGGGCGCGATAGCTCTACCATACTTGACGCTCAAACTCCTGCAAGAGTGCGGCTGTCATGCCTTGGAAGTGCTCCTTTAAAACCATTTGCTTAAGCTTCACATCAACAACAACCTTCCAAAAACCTGCCTTGCGGGAAAGCCCTGAAACTCTGCCGGATATCCCCCATTGCCGACGATTCAGCTAATCTGGGGCACGCCAACAATAAAACCCTGTAAACCTTATAACTCTATAAACCCAACACCCTAAAACCCAAACCCTAAAACCTAAACCCTTTCCTAGAACAAATTCGGCCCCTTATTTGCTTGCCAGCAAGACACGATTTGTCGAAACCGCTGTCTTCCAGGGCCTGCTTGGCAATGCCCACTGTGTGCATTGAAAGGCAAACATCTGGGCACACTAGGATTCAGGGTTTTGCCGCTTGCATGGCCATACAGCATCGGATTCAGGGTTTAGGGCTCAGGGTTCACCACCACAAGACAGGCGTACCTACTGTTGATATGTTTGTGTTTCACAGCGGCTGTCAGCAAGAACCTGCGAAGGCCTTGATGCACAAGGCAGCTGTGAAACCTGCCGTACCTCAGATCAGAGGGCTTGGACCACAACAGGGTTCAGATTTGTTCCATTGTGTGCTTCGGGGAATACCCACCTCATCGCAAACCTGAAGCCTATGTTCCGTTCTATCGCAGCATGCCATGTGAAACAGGTACATGCTTCAAACAAAGAAATCGCAGTCACCCGGCATGCCCCCAAATGCATGAGAACCCTCAAATATGGGCCACGATGTTGAAGACCAGCTGCCGATGGTCATTGCATCTATCGGTGACAGGCCCTCCGGCAATGGCACCAACCAAGCTGCTTTGACAGATGCATACTCGGCATGACCACCATGAAATTTCTGACCCATCTCATAGCCTGGCTGCGGCGGCTGCGGCTCTAAGCAAAGGGCCTTACAGGCACCTTCCAGGAATGGTTGGGTTTGAAGCATGCCAGCAAGCGGTGCCAAATCTGAAGGGCCCGTATCCTTGTTGTATAGCCTTAAACTTTTCTAGGCCTTCAAAGCTTCGCAACAACCACTGGCACGACCCTGCTATCCCTGTGGTTGCAATCGATGGCAAGCTTGGTTTTGGGGCCCACCCACCTGTCATGATGACACGGTCTCCTTTCTTGAAACCTGCTTTCGTCTCATCCACGGTTCCCGCAAAATCAATGCCAGTGATGAGGGGAAGAGTCTCCACCACACCATATATGCCGCAGATCGCCATGCCATCCTTGTAATTTACGCCAGAGTAATCAACCTTCACCCTGACATATTCCTCACCAGTGGCAAGCTCTTCAAAGGGGACCTGTTTCAGCTCCATCTGTAGGCTGGCGCCATCTTTCTCAATCCAACATGCGCGGAAAGACTCAGCTGCCATCGCGTTGCCGCGGTTTGTGACTATGTACAACGCACGATTAGAAATTGAAACCTAGACGCTGCCAGGGGCCATGCATCAACATGAGTCGAGCAAAGCCAAGGCATGCGTGCGGACCCAGTTTTCCTACCTCAGCATAACCCCGTATCAACATTGAGTCTGTTCAGCCGGGCATTTGTCAAGTACGTGCATGGCCCTTTTTTGGCTTGTTGTTGGCTGTTGGACAAGCTTTGTGGCCAGCAACGCTGCTAACAATCGCTATCAAGACCCCTGAATTCCTGCACAACTACGCGACAGACAGCAGGGGACCCTTACGCCCCTGCAGCCCGAGTTCGACAAAAACGTCCAAACCGTCACCCCCAATGATCCCTTCATTGTACTGTCAACAAAACTGACGTATACTGCATGGCATCACGAAACCGTTGAAGCCTGCCTCCGCAACGGAATCCACGCTAGGCAAAAGCACATTGCAGCCACAAAGCTCCAGCACGCCCTTGGTCTTGACATGGATTGACGGTAAGGAATACGCAACTGCCGGACATGCCAGCGCACCTCGCCCCATGCTCGGGGATGCCACAAGTTTTGCATATCTGTAAAGAACGTTATTTCGATTCGTTTTCTTGCACGTTTCAACACACTCTCCGATCACCATCTGCTCGTTTCACAGCTCTGTCCACGTCAATGGCGCCAAAAACCTACAGACAAGCCTTCTATGCAATCTAACACGTTACGTTATCAAGTAATTTGCCCTTGTCACTTTCCCAGCACATAACACAAGCTAATGCATCATCGTTGGAATTATTAACTCCAACCGTTTTCCCATGATCTATATGATCCCCACTCGCCGACAAATCGTGCCAGCGCTATACTAACCGTAAAGACCCGACCTTTTGTCCTAGCTCATGTGTTCATGCCATCCTTACTTGCTGTTTGGGGTGAATGCCACAACCGATGGAACAGCTACGGCTCACTTATTGATCTTGCACCGGTACTGCGGCGCGTTGAGAACCCAGTTGGCTCCCGAAGGCGACTGCAGCTCAGGATTGGGCCGGGCACCGCAAAAGCAGTCGCAATGCCATGGGCAAGCTTGACCCAGCGCATGGTTCCAATTGTAACAGTTGCAACCCTTCAGCAATTCGCTACGCTGATTTGTGGTGTTCATGAAGCTTGTCTTCACGCACTATCGGCTCAAGTTGGATGAAAACATAACTTTGGCGTGATGCATGGTGTGAAGTCAGTTCACTCAGGGTGAGACGTTCCCCTGGTCACCTCAGATTTGTCTGGCAAATTGACTGCTGGCAATCTGAAATATGCCGCCAGCATCCGCCAGCTGTCATTGATAGAGTCAATGGCAAACGTCACAACAGAATGTTACAAACAGGCTTACCAAGTTCAACGGGTGCAAACATGAACCGATTAAGCATCTGGCTTTGGCTTGATCCACAAGGGCTCCTTCATTATTGCGCATTGGATGGCAGCATGAAGACATCCAACGAAGGATGTTTGCCAAAAGCAACCCTTCACAAGATGATGGTGTTGATGTCCTGAATAATAATCTGAGCGCTAGATTAGTAAAAGTGACCATATCTAAAGATTTTTTTTGTGTAAATTTAGCTGCCAAAGACTAGCTACAATTAGGTGGCTTTTCGTATGGGGAAACGGGGCTAGATTTAAAGATTTTTTGGGGGACCCATCCTAATAATTGATCTAAGCAAGTAGTTTACACCAGAATTACTGCAACAAAACTGACAGCTGCTGTTCAGTTTCGAGTCTACATTAATAGAAACTAATTCTGCAGAGCCTGTTGCTGCTTTAAGCTCCATTGGTCTTTGCTTCTGCTTACTGCCTTCGAAATCAGAAAACCAAAAAATCGCAAGAAGTCCAGGCTTTTCAAAAAGCTATAGATTCTTATATGCCCGCGTACTTAAACACAAACTTCGTCATTCCTTCCTTGGCTACTCCCCTTACCACAGCTGCCCCACAGCAGCCCGGATCAGAATTGGAAAAGGGACCACATTCAATTCGTAGAAACTAATTCTGCACAGCCTGCTGGTATTTCAAATTCCTGTAAACATCAAATGTAATCGACTTGAAATTCCGCTAAACACCTATTTGCTTGAAATGAATTGAAATCAAATGGAATTCCGTCTAAATTCGATTGAAATATGATTAAAATACCTTTCACAGTCAATTCAAACCAAATTGAAATCCATCAAAAATCAATTGAAATCGACTTAAATTCCATTTGAGATCAATTGAAATCGAATTAAATTCCATTTGAAAACAATTCCTACCCTTTTTAAATAGAGTTCCAAGAGCCCCGAAGGCCTTTTTCAGGATTTGAAATAAAGATTCAAGACAGTCCTTTTCAGTTTGTGCTGCTAGAGCTCCAAGAGCCCCAAAGATTTTTAAAGGAGATTCAAAACATTTCTTTTTAGTTTGCACGAGAGCTCCAAGAGCCATAAGGATTTTTGATGGAGATTCAATACATTCCTTCTCAGTTTGCGCTAAAGCTCCAAGAACCCCAAACACTTCTAATAGAGCTCCAAGAGCCCCAAGGATTTTTCATGGAGATTCAATGCATTCTTTTTCAATTTGTAAGTAATCTCTGCTTCTGAGCTTATGAAGCAGCAAAATTGGCATGAACAAGCTCTGTAGATCCTCCTTTCAATTTGTACTAGAGCTCCAAGAGCCCCGAAGATTTTTAATACAGATTCAAAACATTTCTTGTCAATTTGCACTAGAGGTCCCATAGCCCCAATCATTCGTTTAATCTGGCACCTTCCATTTCTGATTCCCACCAAGTTAATCCGGTGCTAATATTATAACTAATGCAGTCCATCAAGCCATCAGCTTGACTTCAGTGAAACCCGGGGCTTGGGGGAGTGGCCGGGTGTTCGAAAGTGGTGCAAACGTGTTCGATAATGATCGTAATGTTTGATTGTGTGTAATGTTTGATTGTGTTCAATTGTGGTGCGAAGGTGTACGAGAATTGACTTGAGCATTCCAAGGCTTTACAGGGTCAAGAGTTTTCCTGTCACGGTCTGGCGTACCATGCTGAGCATAGCCCTCCAGAAATTCCTGCAGCTTGGCTGCAATGCTTACGTGGGCTCCCAAAATCTCGCGAACGCTCCTAAACATGACTTGCCGCACCCCTAAACCCCTGAAATGTCAAGGTCACTTGTCGAACACCTTCGAACACTATCAAAAACATGCTCGAACATTCTCGAACACGTGGCACCACCCGGAAATCTTGTCTGCTTTCCATCCGCAAATCATGGAACACTTGCGAACACGAGGATCCACCCCTGAAGCCCCTGGAATTCATATGTCCGCTCCCAAACAATCTGGGACATCGAGATGCCTGAGTCACCTTGCGAAATCCCTCGAGCAATTTCGCACACGGTCGTGTTGAGCATTGCAGAATTCCGTCAAATTTTGCTTCGGATATTCTCGAACCCACTGAACGCTCACGAGAACGTTCATACCGGATCATAACATTGGGGGGCGTCCATCGTGTAATATTTGGGATGAAGATTGATCTCTTCTTGTCGCCTTTGTTGTTACATGGAAGTCCTGGAAACCAAACGGCGCTGCCGCGGGCTCACATGCCAAATGCATGTGCGTGCCGCCGTATTATTTTTACGCATGTTTTTTTTTGTTCCTCGGCCTTTTCCGCCTGC